GCCAAATTAATGAAATAACAAAGCAACACAAAATAAATAAATAAAAATAAGATTTGGAACATAAAAAAATAAAAAGGAAACTGAATCTTCAGTTTTTAACTCAGTAAACAGTTGCACATTTTTTTTAGTTAAAAAACCTTTTCTTTTTTTTTAACAAACTTTATGACTAATTTAGCTCTAAACTGATGGAGTCCTGTTAAAAGCTCACCGGCTTTGCTGCAGTCCACACAGAAGTTGTTCTTCTGACCGACGAAGGCCTTGCTCAGGCCGGGACCTTTAGCCGTCACCTTGGTGGCGTCTGATTGGGCGGGAGCGGCCTGCTGGGAGCAGCTGATGGCGCGGGTTATGGGGTCGACCATGACGGAGGAGGTTTCGTGCAAACTGTGGCTGGACACCAGCTTAGACCCTGCAGGACACGGCAGCAGTTAAAGTTTGATGCTTTTCCTCCTCAGATCATTTAAATCCTGTCGTTTTTTTTCCTCACCTGTGATTTTGACTTTGAACGGGCTTCCGACGATGTGGTACGGTCCGCCGTATTTGATGGAGATGAGATAGTTGCCGGGGGCCATGGGGGTGTACGTGACCTTGTAGCCCTCGGGACACTCCACACAGTCCATCTTGACCTTGGAGGGCCCGTCGATCGTCACGGCTAGAGCCCCGGGGCCCGCGGTGCTCGTGTTCACCACAAACTCACATGCTGATCCTGCAGGTGAGACGAACACAGAAAAATCACGACTACGGTTTCCTTCAGGACTCATTGAATCTGGAAACTTTTTTAAATGTAGTTTTATACACTTTTATTCTATTATCCAGTCCTTTGAGGGTTATTTTTCTTTATTTCCTGATACTACCTTTTACATCCAGGGATCAGTTTGAGTGTTTTCATTGGTTCAGGAGACGTTCAGCCATTAGAAACAAACACTCGGTACCTGTAGTTCCTCCCTCCAGTCCTGGTCCGTAGGCGGACACCATGCCTGGGTCTCCAGCCTGTCCCGTCTCTCCAACCCGGATTTTAAACGGACTTCCCGGGATGTGGCTCCCGTTGAACTTGACGTCGATCAGGTAGAGGCCGTTCTCTCTGGGGATGAACCGGACCGCGTACTTATCTAGAACAGAGGTGGGGTCAGCTCAGCTCATCGGTTCCTCCCACAGATCTGCTCTCAGAGGGGGTCTCTGGCGGGTGGGGTTACCTTGGTCGATCTCGGTGACGCAGCACTCTTCCAGCGCTCCGGATGGACTGTGGACCTTGGCGTCGATGGCGCCTTTGGCTCCGTTCAGGCTGACGGCGAACGATGCCGGCTGGTTTACTTTCAAACCCGACTCCTGCTCGAGAACAAGAACACTCCAGCACTGAGTCACCGGCAGCACAGATACCCACCTTAACCCCMTTTAAAGGGATCCCCGATTAGTTGTAACATTGGACTTTATTTGATGAACATTTATTTTAACTGTAAAATAAAGACTGTAAAAATACTGTAGGCTTTATAGTTTTGTAAATTTTTTAAAATATATTTTAACACGGACAGAGCCATTTTATTTACATGCAAAGCATTCTGGGTAAATGATGACGTGGACAGGTCCTCGGTGTGTGCGAGCTATATCCACCCTGGAGGTTAATCTTGGACAATATCTGATGATCGACTCTTAAATGAAACCAGAGAGCGTTGACAGAGAGGAGAAGGTAGAAATGACTCAGTCTGTAACTGAAAATATGGATGGACGACAACAGAGCTGCTTCATGGAAGAAGAACCTCAGTTTAGCCTGTTAGCCTTTGTGCTAGCCCTGATACTATATAGCCTTATATGTATTGTTGCTAGCGCGACAAACAAGCTAAACTGAGGTCCTCCATCCATATTTTCAGTTGCAGGCTGAGTCATTTCTACCTTCTCCTCTCTGTCATGTGGATGGAGGACCTCAGTGACGAGAGGAGAATGAGTAGCGCTGAGCTAATACATAGATATGGCGATAGCATCGGGGCTAATGCTAAAGCTAACAGGCTATGCTGAGGTTCTTCTTCCATGAAGCAGCTCTGTTGTCCTCCATCCATATTTTCAGTTGCAGGCTGAGTCATTTCTACCTTCTCCTCTCTGTCAACGCTCTCTGGTTTCATTTAAAAGAGTCGATCATCAGATATTGTCCAAGATTAACCTTCAGGATGGATATAACTCGCTAACAGCCTCGCACCAAGGACCTATCCACGTCATCATTTACCCAGAATGCTTTGCATGAAATGGCCCCGTCCGTGTAATATATTTTTAAACTTTTATTTTAAAAATTATGAAAACCAAACAGCCTACAGTGTTTTTACAATCTTTATTTTACAGTTAAAATATATGTTTATTAAATAAAGTCTAATGTTACAACTAATCATGGATCCCTTTAAAACGCATCATACTCCCAAGTGAAACTGCTGGACTTACCTGGAGCTAACAGGGCTAAAGAGGAGGGCTGTGCAGGAAAATTAAGTGTGTAAATTAAACTAAACAAAGATGATCTTAGCAGCTTTATTTACCTTTTACTGGTGCAGGTGTAAGAACATGAGTGCAAGGTTAAAAACTCAACTTTTACCAACTTTCTTTTCATCTGTTAGACGTTAGTGATGTTTGTGTGAGGAAACAGCCCATTTCCAACCTCTTTAACCCTTTAGCTCCCCGTCAGACCCTCGGGGTTGGAAGCCTGTTGGGAGCCTTTAGAATGAGGCACGAGAAACACACACAGTCCTCGAGTATCCCAGAAGCCTTTGCGCCGACCAACAACGCAGCAGCAGCTGCTTTCACAGCCTCGCCTACAACCTCAACCTGATCTTTACCAGAAATTCAGTCTAACTTCCGGGTTCCTGTGAGTAAACACGTTAAAACTGAGTTAAACGTTTCCCCGTCTTTGGAGTCAGAGCTGCTGCTGCTGCATTGCGAGCGGCGCGCCGCGGCCCGGGCGTGCACACGGATGTGCGTGTGTCTCAGAGCCTCACCTGAAGACTGGCAACAGTGAGGCGGCGAGCGTCGTCCGACGGCGAGGCCACGGGGACGACGAACGGGCTGTCGGGGATGTGCTCGTCGTTGAAGCGGATCGACACCTCGTAGTCACCTGGAGGCCAGAGGAAACTGTTAGAGGGGAAGACCACCCACTGGCTTTCTTTACGTCGGGGCTTTTCAATGGTGGCCCACGGGCCGGATGTGGCCCACGAGTGACTTCCATCAGGCCCCTCTATTTTTAATTTATTTTTATTTGACTTAATTCACTATTAAAATAGATTTGAAATAATTTGTAAATTTTAAATTTATGTTTCACTGCAACAAAACAAGAATTTAAACTGGTCATCAAGAATTCTCCTAAATCTGAAAATGAAAATGTGAATATAAAGCAGCCAACCCAAATGTTCTGAAACCCAGCAGATTTTAACACCAAATCTTTAAATCTTCAGCTCTTTTCCAGATTTTTAATTTGACACTTTATTATAAAGGTTTATTTGGATAATCTGTGGGTTATCAACCTCATCCTCCCTCTAATTATTATTTTTGTCGCCAAACATTGAAGATGTGTTGAATCGGATCCTGGTTTTCAGAGTTCCTCCTGATTAATTTAGCAGATTTTTTATTTTACTGATAAAAAAGGAAAATAACTTAAATTCGCTTGTACAGATTTAAATTATCTCCGCCTCCTCTCACCAGGCTCCTGCACGATGTAAGACACTCCGCTGGACCCGTCCTTGCGGTCCTCGAAGGCGATCTCGGCCTTGCTCGGACCCTCCACGGCGATACTGAGACCGCCGGCTCCGGCCTCCCTGGTCCAGATGCTGAACTCGGCTACAAGGAGCACCAAAGAGTTTCAGATTTTGAATCATTCAGACACACACACACACACACACACACACACCACCAACCTGGTACCCCGGCCTCGGCTCTCTCCAGACCCGGTCCTCCAGCACGGACCTTATGAGCGCCGCCCTCGCCCAGGGGCCCGACGGTGAACTGGAAGGGGCTTCCGGGCACGTGCACGCCGTTGTACTTGACGCACACCGTGTGCACGCCCGTCTCGGTGGGGACGAAGCGGATGCAGTAGGTGTTGTTGTCGCCCTCCATGATTTCAGCTTTGTGGACCTGACCGGACGGGCTGGTCACCTGAGCTGTCATGTCCGATATGCTGATCTCTGAAAGGACAAACGTTCGTGAAACTTAGTTTTTTTTTTAAATCTTTTAATAAACGTTTCCGACTCCTCGCTTCCCTCACCTGGGATCTTCAGGCTGAGGTCACACTGACTGCCGACGTTGGCGACGGACGCTGCCCTCCTCTTCCTGGTGATGCTCTCCTTCATCCTGCCCTCCCCGGTGACCTTCACCGTGAACGCGCTCCCTGAGCGGCGAGCACAAACGTCTCATTCAGTGAGTCAAACACAGAACCTTTGCTCTCCAATCCCAGATTGTTTGACGGTACGCACCTGGCACATGCTGGTCGGCGAATTTTATGTTGATGATGTAATTTCCTGGTTCAGTGGGGCAGTAGGTGACCTTGCAGGTGCCGTCCTCTTGGTCCTCGGTGTTGATGTCCACTTTGCTAGGTCCCTCGATGGACAGGCTCAGGCCACCGTATCCTGCAAATGTAGCAAAGAAAAAGAACTGAAGAATCTGTCTTGAGGATCATCTCAGCCATTAATGCACCAAATTGTAGCTCAACATCTCTAAAAGTTGAGTTAAAACCACGATTGTATTAGCTGTGGTGGCCATTTTGAATTTCCAGGAAAGAAATGAACAGCACTGGGCGTGTAGCTCAAGCTTACCAATAGCTACACTAAAACGTTAGCTTAGCATCTCTAAAAACTGACTGAGGTATAAAGTTGTTTTTGTTAAAGTTTCAGTAAATTATGTCGCCAAGAAAAATAACAGCACAGTTAGTGGCTGAGCAGTTTTTGATTTGTTAAAGACAAAATAGATGTTTATTTGAAATCTTTTAGAGGTGGATGTTAACAGGGAGGCACTGCAGGCAGTAAATAAAATAGATCTTTTCAGTAAAATCTTTAGCTTAGCATCAACAGCAGGGCCGGCCCAAGATAATTTGTCACACTGGGCAAGATTTCAGTTGGTGCCCGCCGCCCTGTGTGCAACTTTCCAAATATCACTGCCAATTTACATCCATTCACAAATCAAATTCAATATTTTTGTTCGACATTTTTTATCTTTAGAAACCAGGTTGACCAAAGAATACAGTTAAAATAAGTTGAAACAGAACAGCACCTGCCAACATCTGCTGATGACATCATGAGGAACACCTGTTCATGTCAACCAGCAGCTGTGGACTGAAGCAGTTCTAGGGGGGTCCAGGGGTAAAAGATCTACTCGAAATTATACCTTTTTCAGCCACYTGAAGAGCATTTTATTAAAATCTTGGGATTAATAAAACATAAAATCAGTATTTTATTACGGTAGAAGACTGAAAACCAGAATTTAACCTGAACTTTATCAGAGATCATAGATGATTCACCAGTAGTTAGTCTTGACTGCATCATGATACTCTGATAAAACGTTATCAAATATTTGTGGCGCCCCCTCTAGATGGACGTCCCCCTTTCCTGTTGCCTTTMCTACCAGCCCTGATCAACATGTGCACCAAGTGCGTACCTGCGTCTCGAGTGTCGATGATGAACTCTGCGGGCTCGAAGGTCCTGGCCTCGCTCAGGCCCTGCCCGCTCACACGCACCCGGCTGGCGTCGCCGATCTCCGACTGGTTGATCATCACGGAGATGGGGCTGCTGGGAATGTGGCGGCCGTTCTTCTTGATGTTCACCAGGTGCTCCCCGATCTCTTTGGGCACGAAGGAGATGCCTGCAGCAGAAACAAAAACAAAAATAAAACAACACAAAACGGGAGCGGTTACAGTGACGGTGGCACAAGGCTTCCTGTTCGATGGGTCACAATCGAATGGCGTGCACGCTCACCGACGTGCCCGTTCCGCAGCATCTTCAGCAGGCAGGGCTCCTCGCGTCCCGAAGGCGTGGTGAGGGAGGCGGTCAGCTGGCTGAGGTCAAACTCTCCGATGTCCAGGGGGATATCGGCAGCCGAGCCCACCTTCAGATGGGACATCCTCATGGAGTCGTCACCTGGAGACGCAGCGGTGACAAAATGTTTTCATGTCTCTTTGGAAAATTTTACAACTTGTGAGCGTTTAAGGATCTTAAGGTCCAACATAAAAATGAGGAACTACGCCTCCCCATAAAACAAACATCTGCATCAGACTAGGACAACAAAGACTGTAGCTCAGATTGATGCATCTAATGATTCAAAGAGACCTCCTGCAGCTGAGACTCCACCAGATTTAAAAGAAGACGCAGAGTCGTTAGTTTTACCGGTGATCCTGGCAGAGTAGGGGCTGCCGGGGATGTGCTTGTCGTTATATTTGACCAGGATGCTGTAGTCGCCCGGCAGGACTGGGAGGTAGGACACGGTGCAGGTACCATCCTGGTTGTCCACACAGCTGATGTCCGCTTTGGACGGACCCTCGATGGCCAGAGAGAGACCACCTATAAAGAACACAGAGTCATCGAGTTGTATTTTTTAATATTTCTACCTTCAAACATCACAAATAACAGAAGCAATCCTAAGTCATGACAACCTCCAGGAGCTCCATGTCAGCAAAAAACTTTTTATTTTTGATGAACTAAGTTTTGGTTGGTCAGGAATTTTAATGAATGAAGGGAGTCATTTGTCCCATTGTCCTCATAGGCTGATCATTTTAAAGCTTTACAGTCATTTGTGTTTATTTATTGAACTCCTACAGGTGGAAAAGGAGAGAAAAAAAGTTAAGTTGGGATTTAAAAAGTTAGAAAACACCTAAAATAACAGTGGAGTTAAATACTTATGTAAAAAAAATATCAGAAAAAGCAGTGAAAGCAACAAAAGTTTAAGTTTGGTAAAGTATTTGTTATTTTGTAATATAATTGCAAAAGTTAAAATATTTTCCATCTAAAAAAAATACAAAGGGGATTTTTCTATTGAACTTCAGGAGCCACAAAATGTATTATTTTTTCCAGATTTTGAAGTTAGTAAATTCCTATATAACAGCAGACAAGTAATCAAATCTTTTATTGTGAAAAACTAACAAAAAGGGGAAAGGACATTTTACATATTATAGGAAAACATTCCAATTTGGGGTTAAGTTTTAGTTCTTTTGTAATTTGTAGATAGATTATACAAAATTGTTCACATTATGTACATCTTGCATGACATTGGAGTTCTCCAACTGTTTTAGCTGTTACTTTTCATTTTCTTTTAAATAATTTCAGCAATACTTCAACACCTTAATTATGATTAAGAGTTTTCCAACAGACCCTTATAAATAATATTATCCTTTCAGGCGTTCATGAAATTAGTGGTTTTAAATCCAGTTTCTGACAAAGACATGACTCTGTTGAGTTGAGTTAAAACCAGACTTTGATTCTTGAAGATTCTTCAGTCAGACTTCGATAAGAAACTGAGCCTCTTTAAGAAAAAAACCAAAGTCCAGCTGACTTTGATTCGACTTGTTCAGGTTTTCTGGATAATTTCGGATCACGGGAACATAAATCCAAACATACCTTCTCCGGCGTCTTTAGTGTTCACGGTGAAGACGGCGGGCTTGTTCACGGTGCCGTGGATCAGGCCAGGACCGTACGCGCTGACGTTTCCGCTGTTCATGTAGTCCACGTAGAACTGAAGAGGACTTCCTGTTGACGGGAACCACAGAAACGTCAAACCTTCTGCTGGATCTGAAYGGGTTCGTGCTTTCGGAGCTCGGACGTACCCGGGATGTGGATGCCGTCGTATTTGATGTCCATCTCGTGCAGACCGGCCTCCGTCGGGGAGTATTTGACGGTGACTGTGCCGTCCTTGTTGTCAGTGATGTCTGGCTTGGCCACCTTGCCCGACGGCATTCGGACCTCGCCTTTAAATAAAACAAAAATGGCGTCATTCTCACGCCACGGACGTCAGGAGATTTGAACCCTCCTGCTGTTTACCTGTGATCTCTCCCTTCTGGATGGTGAACGGGATGACCAGGTCAAAAGGTCTCAGCCCGGCCACATCCAGACCGTTCATCCCCATTGGCCGATCGGTTGCCTGGATGACAGAACGCAGATATAATAAAATCACCACCCAGTGACGGACACGCTCGCAGCAAAGACGCAGCAAACACAATGCAAGCAGGGGTGGAAGCTTCCCGAACGGGAGAACGAGACAACCATGAGATGGAATGACAACGAAGGGAGACGCAGATGATGGTCAGGATGATGGCACCAACAACAAACTGTGACGGGAGAAAYGGCTCGTCAGGGAAAAGCATGGAGAAGGGATGGAAATCCTTTAAAAATCGCTTTGGTTTAAGCGATTTCAACATGGAGCAGTAGACAGCGGAGCTGTACAGCCCTGCTGAACCGTCCATGTGGAACACAGGAAGGGAGGAAAATGATAGAAAAGCCCCCCCCCCACAAAGAATAAGACACCTGTGAAGAGAGACATTGTTGAAACGAGGCCACATGGGACGACAATGGGATGAAAGATGACAAGGTTGGACAAGAAACTGAGCTAAGAGGGATGAGAGAGCTGCAGACTGAGGTTTTTGGTACCCAGGGTTGTTGAGCGTAGTATTGGGGCATTTGTCTCTGCTGCATGAGGAGCTGATCTGATGGTCCCTCCAGAGCCTGAAACGGGGGATTGAGAAGGTCAAAGAGTCGTGAGGAGGAGAATTAAACAGTTAACCAGACAAGCTGTCAGGATCATTTAGAAATCACAACGAGGCGAGCAGAGAGCGCTTTGCTTCATTGTTTGGACAGTACACAGTAAAAAGAAAAAAAATACTTTATATCAAACTATGGAAGCTTTTTTTTTTTTTTTCACATTTAAATTATTCGGTTGAAGTCTATATAAAATGAAACTGCAAATATTCTCAGTTTTAAACTATTTAATTCCTGGAAATTATCTCGTAACCCAAAATTTGGAGCTTTAGGACCCTCAGTGGATTCCCAACCCCAACTTGCTGTAAATGAAATATTAAAATTGTCAATTATTCTTCCAAAATCAAAGCTTAAACGATGACATCTCATTATTTAAATAGAAAGTGACATAACAAAAAAAACCTTAAATCTGAGTTACTGGACAAGATCAGTTGTTTTTACTTTAAAAAAAGGAGACATACGATGCTTTTAAATCCTTCCTTTTCACATTTAAATCCTTCACTTGGGTCTATATAAAGTGGAACTGCAGTGCTTTGGTCTGAATTCCTCCTTATTGTAACTCCACAAGCCCCGCCCCTTTTCTGGGGCGTGTCCAGATCAACTAATTTTGAGGGGCTTTACACCCTGCCCTCCTCCAGCTTTCAGACCGGTTAATTCCAGTTTGATAGAGAGGTTTTTATGACTATATAGCTGAGCAGAAACATTTTATTTACAAATAAATTAAAAAGWCGTCAACAAGGGAAGCCTTGTCCATCCAGCCAAACATTTTGGAGTCAGAGTCTGAGGGAAATGAAGACCACCAAACTGTAGTTGGTAAGTCCAGACCTTATTTAGAAGTTCCATCACAAATAATTTGATGTAATAGTTTAGAAAACATCACAGAAAATAGAGAATGGGTTGGAAAAATATGACCAAAACAGAATATAAAGATATTTACGTAGCACTGAGACTAAACTCAACTTTTCTGCATTACTACACAATGACAACAAATAATTTATTTAACAGCTAAATAAGTGGATTTTGCAGAATATTTCTCCTTTAAAACAAAATACCAGTCTGCAGGATCTAAACAGTTTGCACTTAGAGGGAAAGTTTAGTAACTAAATATGAACCACATTGAGTTCCTTTTATTCTGAAGGTGGGAATAAAAAAAGGTTTTTACAACTTCCCATTGCTTTTCAAATAAGTTACATTTGTTTACCATATTTTGTTTTCCATACACGTTTGAAATAAAGAATCTAAAATATAAAAAAAGTAAAACTCACCGTGACTTGGAAGGGGCTGTTGGGAATGTGCTCCCCTCCGAAACGGACGCAGATCACGTACTCGCCGGGCTGCGGCGCCGTGTAGAAGATGTCGAACGTGCCGTCCTCRTTCTCCACCACGTCCACGTCCAGCTCCGCCCCCTCGGGGGTGCACACGCTGCACGTGACTTTGCCCTTCCCGGCGGCCTTGGCGTCGACCGTGATGACAGTCTGCTCGCCGATCTGGATGGTCGGACCAACGCCGGCTCCTTAAAAAAAAAATTAAATATAATTAAAAAGGGGGCGGGATTTGTTGCGTCAGCTCATTGGAGAATAAAATATGGAGAACTGAAACCGCTTCAATCGAGGATGAAGTTTTAATCTGCTGCTGCCCTCGGGTCAAAACAAGGCCATGTGGGGCATTTTAACCCGACAGCATCAGTTGTTGCTCAGGCAGTGTTATTGATTTATTAAAAAATACGATTTTGGGCAGTTTCAGTCCTCCGTAGCACAAGCAGTCTGTCTTTAACACACGCAGCATGCACCATTCCACAACCATGACACTGATTAATTATGATTCATGTTATTACATTCATTTAAAACCAGTTCTTCATTACAAAAGTTTCCATCTAGATTAGCCACAGAGCCATTCCACCATGCCGTCCTACCTACTCTGTTAGTCCATTAGTCCGTCCAAAACATAAAAAATAMATAAAAAAGATGAGAAATCGTTACAGAAAAGAGAAAAAAAAAACCAAAACAGATGTATTAAAGACAGAAGGGGACATCCTGCTCTGAGACCACTATCCTCCATGCGTTCAGAGAAGAAAGGAAAAGTCTACGTTACAAATCTTTCAGTGGGGCTTACCTAAACCGTGACCTCCGATTGAGACTGATAAAACGGTGAGAAGAAGGGGGCGGAGCCAGAAAAACAGAAGTGACAAATAAAAAGACAGTCAGGTGGAGGTGTGGGGGGTGCTGGAGGGGTGGGTAATAACTGTGCTCCAGACAGTCGGGACAGTGAAGCGGGTTGGTGTGTGTGTGTGTGTGTGTGTGTGTGTTGGGGTGTAACTGAGGAGCACAGCGTGAAGAACAAACTAAATGCACAGAAAAATAAAGACACAGAAGCAGATAAATCCAGGTGAACATGGAGAGAGCTCACAGTGCTGCAGCTAAAGAAAACATGAAAAATAAAAAAAAATAAAAAAACACAACAGCAAATCCACACAGACCGAGAACCAGGGCTTAATTCCTCCAGAAAAACTACAGTAGTGTTTCTGGGGACTCAAAAAGCTGACGGACAGCACCTTTTTGTTTCCCCACTGTTCTATTGTTGTGTTTAATTGATCTTTAATTTTTTTTTTCTTTGAAGCAGTTACTAATTTGCATGTTCTGTGTGTATTTGCAGTGCACGTGTTTGAAAATCATGTTTTATGTTTTCGTAGCCGCAGCATTTCAGGCTCTTTCAGACACGTCGATGAGTGGTTCTAAACTTTACAAAATAAAACCCACAAAAAAGTAAAATAAAATAAAATAAAAACTGGTGAATCAAAGTGTTGCTAAAGGACAAATTGTTTTTATCCATATCTAACTGCTTTGTTGTCACATATGGAACATCCTCAGTCAGTTTTAAACTCAATTTAATTTTAGGAAATCGTCCAACGACCCATAATTTGGAGCTTTAGGACCCACAGTGGGTTCCCAACCTCAACTTGCTGTAGCTGAAGCCTTAAATTGTCAATTTTATTTCAAAATAAAAGCTTAAAATGACTAAATCTTGTCATTTGAATTTAAAATTTTTTTTTAAATAAAAGCAGTGAGTTAATTAACAAAACATCAGCAGCTCATTTATTGGTAGAGATTTAAATCCTCTGAACCTTCTGTGTTGAAAGAACTTCTGTTTGTAAATAAATCAGGAAACTTGAGACGATCTACTTCTAGCTGAGAGTAAAATGTTTCAGGCGTCGGGTCTAACCTGTGACTGTGCACTTGCTGGCGTCTCCGGTGGGCAGGGCTCTGATGCGGTACGGCGAGTACGGAATCTCGTCGCCTCCGTATTTGATGAGGATGGTGTACCTGCCCGTCATGTCCGGCACGTAAGACACCAGGTAGGTCCCGTCGTTGTTGTCACGGATGTTGGCCTTCTTAGGCTTCCCCTCTGGGTCCTTGTAGGGATATAAAAAAATAATAATAATGGGGGGGGTTATCAGTTTGAAAAATGAGCCAATTTTACGTTTTGGTGGAAAATRTGGAACTCACGGTGATCTGCACCGCCAGCAGACCCTCGCCAGCGTCTTTGGCGTCGATGGTGAACTCCACCGGCAGAGAGGCGGGAACTCCGGTGGTGTTGAGGCCGGGTCCGCTGGCGCGCACCTTACTGGCATCATGGGTCGGGAGGACCTTCACCTTGTAAGGGCTGATGGAATAAAAAATAAAAACAAGATTGAAGAGAAACAAAAGTGAAATAACACTGAAAGGTTAAAAAGAGACACTTCAGCTTTTTACTTCATAATTGTTTAGTGAGAAAGKTTGAATCTTACCCTATTCAAGTGACTCACTGAATTTTTAACTTTACATCAGTGGATTTAAAACTTTATTTAAAATAAAAAAGGTTAAAGTGGAGATATGTTTCTGGAAAGCCTGAGGTTAGCCTTTAGCTTGTACCAAAACTCAGATTTTTGAGACGTTGAGTAATTTAAGCTGTGCGACCGTGTTCACCTGCGTGGGATCTCCTCATCAGCATACAGGACATTAATAGAGTAAGGTCCCTCTCTGGTGGGGACATAGTTGACCGTGTGAGTCTGATCACCGTTATCCACCACCTCCGCCGGCTCCACAACACCTGCAGCACAAAAAAACAAACAGGAAGAGGGATCCAGGGTTAAAATTATAGCTAAAAGTAAATTTTAAACCAGGGATGAGGACAATGGAGAGTAATAAACCTCACAATAGGAGTGCGCCGCACACGCACATCAACACGTGAGACTTGCGTTCAAGGTTGGTGAAAAAAAAACAATAATAAAAAAAAGATAATCTGCGCCTTACCACATTTACTCAGTTATTGGAAGAAATACATTTGACAGCTCAAACTCTACGGTATATTAAAACACATTACTGGTTCTACAAATGTTACATTTTGTGGACTGTACGGCTGAAATAACCTAAATGAGTAGAGTGAAAATTTAACAGGACGAATATATATCACCAGAAACAAAGTTACTTACAAGTTAAATTCAAGACTTTTTAATGCCTCTTGAAATTAAATTTAAAGACCAACTTCACAATAAATGATAAAAAAGTGACAATTTTACCAAAATGTTTATTCTAACAAAACTAGCTGCGAGAGACATTTATTATTATTTAAGACGAAATTACAAATCATCTTGCTTACAATGTGTTAACATTTTTAAGACCTCAGAAAGACATTTTAAGAGTAATTAAGGCCTTCGATTGATGAATTCAATGCCTTTTGAAGACTAAGGGTCTGAAGAAAAACTGAGAAAAATACATTTTCCTGATTTTTCCACAAAAATAACCTACTTTTACTTCAAATATACAATCCACACAAGAAATAAATGATATTATTTTACGATTTAATTACGTCATTCGTCTACAAAAACTCCTGGATAAATATTTACAAGTACTCCTCTGCAAAAACTACCCACAATTATAATGGAACAATAGAATTTCCTCATTTTATGATGGACCGTAGACTACTAAACTCAATACGATTAGGTGGAAACTATATTGGTAAACTGAAATTAATAATCAAAATGATATTTTTCAKGTAGTTTTTCCACAAGAGTAAAATGTTAAATTTTGTGGACTGTTCAGCTGAAATAATAAAATGGGTACATTATTCTAAGTCTCAAAAGTCATTTAAATGTGAGCAGATCTGTATAAATCTTGTGCTGGCACACTCCCACCTGTGAGATGTAATAATTTCCATAAAGGAAGCTCTGAAACATTAAAATGTGCGTCACCTTTGGGTCCTTGCACGCGGACCTGCAGCGGTGCCACTCCAGCTTTGGAGGCGTCCACGGTGAACGCCTGCGGGATGTTGGCCCTGACGTTGTTGCCCAGGCCGGGACCCTGACACTTCACCTTGGTGCTGTCCACCGTGTCGCTGACGGGCACCGAGAACGGACTACCTGCTCAGACAGATCAGAAGTTTGATTGATTTATTTTCAACTTGTAATCAGGGATTTGGCAGCAGAGTTGATCTTAACCCGTGATCGGCTGTCCTCCATAGTTGATGTTGAGGTTGTAGGTGCCAGGTTCGTACGGGATGTACTCCACGCTGCAGCTGCCATCTTTATTATCAATGCAGGCCATTTTGGCCTCCGATGGACCTTCCATAGCCAGACCAAGACCACCAGTTCCTGCGCCTCTGCAGCCAGAACATTATGAACATTAAAACCAGGAAACATCAAGTTTTCCACTTTTGAATTCTGCTGCAGTGACGTACCGGGTCTCCACGGTGAACTTGTTCGGCTTGTTGGTGATTCCACTTTTCAGTCCAGGACCGTGGACACGGACCCGAGCCGGGTCGCAGCCTTCGGTGACTCCAACTCTGAACGGACTGTTGGGTACCGGAGAGCCGTCGTAGCAGACCTCCACACTGTGTGGGCCTGAAGCAAACAGATTCAAAACCACAGAGTCAACCTTTCTTTATGGTTAATGTATTGAATTTGTATTGAGGTTTAGGAAAAACCACAAAAAATAAAATAAAATAAAAAATGAGCTGTAATAATTATTAGTAGAAAACATTATGGTCACCAAACAAATATTGCATTTAATTGTCAACCCCCTTGAAAATGAGATGTTACATCTCAAGGTGTTATCCTTGAAACAAATAAATACTTTTAATCTGTTAAAATTATTGAAACTTTATGATCTGGTTGATAATATCTTAAAGTTTATGTGTAACATTCACATTTACAATCTCAAAGTCATTATAACCTTATAAGGAATGGACATTTTTTGCAAAAACCTCCATTTCAAACTAGTCTGAAGTGAAAAGGTTTGTAGCATTAATACTGATAAACTTCCAAAACAATCTATACGTTTAAAATGATAATTAAGGAGAATTTATTGGGAAAATATGATCCCATGTAGTATTTACAAGATGACATGAAGGATACATGATGTTTTTTACATGAAAATACACAAAGTTATCTTTTTGAAATTAAGGGGCAGATACGATAAGATTCTTTTCTTCTCTCTGCACTTTTCTCACTGTGGGGGTTGATGTACTTTATAGACAATAATCAAAAAACAAACGCCTCACCCTCCTCGTAGGGCGTGTACTCCACGTTGTACGTTCCGTCTCCGAGGTCGGCGATCAGGGCGTCCGTGCGGCTGCCAGACGGGTTGCTGATGAGGGTTTTGATGTGGTCGCCTCCGGTCCGCGTGAGAGCACGGGCATCCACGGTAAAGTCCGTCGTGGCCTCGCGGAAAACTCCTACAAAAAACACAGAACATAAAGCAAACATGTTGACTTTTTCCTTTTGGATTTCTTAAACTTTAAGGGTTCATTTTTCTCCAGAGGACCTTTACCTCACTAATCTCACCATTTAGGAAGCTTTAAATTTTAGTCTTCAAAATCAAAACAGTCCCCCTCCCCTCCTCATTCAACCTTCAAATGTCAGAACCTTCAGCTCTGCAGATTTTTACCAGCTCAAGACATCAAAACTCCAGTGCAACAAGCAAAAGACCTTATGATCTCAGCACGGTCATCTTGACCCAAAAACTCAGGAGGTAGAGTTCAAGTCTTTTTCTAGACCTCCTAAGTCTGTTGACTTCCTGAAGGTGGCTTGTGTTTAGAAATGTGTTGGGAATTTTACAAGTCAAGACGACAAAAATATTAAAATAACTATTAAAAAAAAGTCTTGGTAGGTTTGGACCCAGGCCAAATCCAGAAAGTGCCCCTTCAAAATCACCCTCACTTCTGCTTTTACATGAGAAAAACAATCATCGCCAGAGGACCTAACGCTGTCTGTTTGCACAAGCTTTGCGTTACCTTTGCCCTCCACTCCTGGTCCGAACACGCGGACGCCGCTGGCATCAACCGCAGGCTCCACAGCCAGCCGAGCAGGGAAGTTTGGCACATCCTGGCCACCGTAGCGTATGGTGAGCGTGTACGCCCCGGGGTAGAGGGGAATGTAGGTGATGGTGTAGGTCCCGTCTCCGTTGTCTTGGATGTGAACCTCTGCCTCGGTGCCGCTGTCAGAGATGATCTCGATGGTCAGCTCGGCGGGACCGGCGTTGGTGCAGTCCACAATGAACTCCCCGGTCTCCCCAACCTTGGCACGCTCCAACCCTGGTCCAGAGCAACGTACCTGAGGAGAGACAAGAGCAGGTGAGGTGAGRTGACTCGTTTCATCTTCTTTAAGACATTTTACTAGCTATAGCCAACCTTGGAGGGGTCCGTAGCAGGATAAGCTGTGGGGCTGAAGGGCGATCCAGGGATTGGAACGCCATCATAGGTCAGCTCGACCTGGTACGGCCCGGCATCACGAGGGATGAACTTCACCTGACTGGTCTCTGGGCTCAGGCCAGGCTCCACCTGCAACAAAATAAATCATTCTTTAGTGCGTCATCTTTTGGCACAAATTATTTGACACCGGGGACGTTTGGAACGGCAGCCTTTACTTTACTAGCCACTGGCTTTCCTGATGGTCCGGTCACTTTGGCAGCAACTTTTCCCTGACCTCCGGCACCCTTCGATTTGACCGTCACTTCCTGGTCTTTACCCACAGTCATCTCTGCACAAACAAATTACTCCAGCTTCAGTTTGGAAACAAATTTACAGATAAAGGCTGACAGTAGAACTTGTTTGCAGCTAAAAACCCTTTAGAATTTAGAAACAAACTTACAGAAACTTGGTATGGTACTTCGAAGATAATTTTAAATATAGCCAAGTAAAATTAAATTATGTAGCTTGAGGGCTGAAATTAATGAGTCACGATAAAGTACATACTGTCTCCCAGGCCCGTGACGTTGACCTTGCTGAGGTCCAGAGTGGGCGCCACTGCGACGTTGAAAGGACTCTTAGGAATGTGATCTCCACCGTAGGTCACAGCAACTCCCAGAGAACCCTGATGTAGCAAAGAAATCAGTGCAAAAATACTTTTAATTCAACCTTTTCCTAAAAGATACTTGTCTAATTTTCCTTATACACACGCAATGATGCAGACTATTTACAAATAAACATGCAAGAGTTTCGACCATTTTACCTGCTGCACAGGTGTGTACTTCACAGTGTGTGTGTTGTCGTGGTTGTTTATGATCTCAAAGTCTGAGACAGCTTCTGCTTTGGTTGGGCCGGTGAAGTTGCAGTCCAGGTTGGCCTTTCCGGCTCCCTTAGTGTTCACAGTGAAGTGAGTGGGTTTGTTTAATTCAACCCCTAAAAAATAAATAATAATAATTACAGATGACCTGTCAAAATCCATCTGGACAAGATAAAATGAAGATGTCAACATTTACACAATTTCTTTTATTTTTTTTATTAAAACCTTAATATATGTTTAGGTTGAAAGTTGTAACTGTTATTTTAAATTTAATCAATAAATAAAACAATCCACAACTGCATTCTGGCTCATTATAGATGGCTAAAAGTGTTACACTAGCCAGCAACAATTATTTTTCTTGAATTAACTGGAGAAAATAGATATTCAAAATAGAAAATACATAAATATATTGTAGCACTTGAATAAAATCATTAAATCAAACTGTAACTTAAAAAGTAAAGTTGCAAAAAGCCAATTAGCATAGCTTAGCCAGTTAGCTTAGAAAAGCCAACTAGCGTAGCTTAGTAAATTAGCTTCAAAAAGCTAACTAGCATAATATTGCCAACAGATGACTACCAAGTTCTGCTAGTTAGTTATGCTATTACTCACCCACAGTTAATTTTAAGCTATTTATTTAAATCGAACTATAAAATAAATGCTGTATAATTAAACTTAATCTAAAAGTTCTAGCAACTTTAATTATTTAAAGAAAAAGCAATTGACCTTTTTATAGTTACTTATGCTTAGTGTCAGTATTTTGCAATGCATTGTGGTCTAGATACATCATCAGGTTTACTTCTGGTTCATTAAACTACACTTAATCTAAAGAAAAAATAATTTAAACAGCACAATCTTAGTTAAATTTGATTAAAAGTTGTTGTACCGCTACGACTGAGTCCTGGTCCTTCGGCCTTAACTTTGCTGGCATCATGAGAAGGATCCACTTTGATTCTGATGGGCGTCATCGGAATGGCCTAGAAGAAGAAGAAACATTTATTATACACAGAATATGCTGGTGTTACTCTGATTTGTGATGCGGGATTTAAACCTACGTGTTCAGCAAACAGCACCATGATGGTGTAGCTGCCGGCACCAGGAGGAGTGTATTTGACAGTGAACGTGTCGTTATCGTTCCTGATGATGTCAAAGTCGATATCGGCCTCTGCAGGTCCCACCACACCGGGGGCACACTTGATCCCTATGCTGATGTCACCTGAAGACAAAAAAAACCCATCAGAAATTACATTCAAGCTTATTATTTCAATTGTAGCTGCAGAAAACTCCCTTGTTATTAATTTATGTCGAACACGTAGAGGTGGGTGTCATCAGCGTAACAGAATGTCCTTGACTGTCCTGAAAGGTGCTTTTTAAATAAAATGTATTATTCATTATTATTGAAAACCTAATTTTTTTTACCTTGACCTGCTTCGGCGCAGTCAACAGTGAAGTATGTCGGCTCAAAAGCTTTCAAGCCGGTCTTGGCGACTCCAGGTCCGGACACCTTCACTTTGTTTGGATGGCAGCCGGCTCCAATATTCATCTGTGGTGAAAACACAAACTCAAAAATTCTACAAACAAACAAACAAAACAAAACAAAAAAGATAAATAAATTCAGGGTGTGTACTCACCCTGAATGGGCTGTCGGGGATGTTGACTCCTCCCCAGGACACCATGACGGTGTGTTTCACCGGTTTACGTGGCGTGTACGTACAGGTGTATGTGCCGTTGCCGTTATCTTTAACCTGGACCTCCACAGGATTTCCTTCTCCATCCTGCACAGAAAATTTGTCTGATTGGTTAAAATGTTTCCATTATAGGGTTCAAAAAGAACAAGACAATCTGTCAAGAGTCCTTTATTTGAGATGCTCAGTAATGACTGTGTCAAGTTTAATTAAATGTATATGGCAGCAATACAGAACCCAAAACAGATCTTTACCATCAATGAGAGTTTGGAAGATATTGCTAAATGGAGGAACAAAAAGAAAAGTCTTGAAGTACCTGAGCCAAAATCTTCAGAGGGGCTTTTCCTCCTTGTTTGGCATCAACAGTGAACTCAGTGGGCTTCCCAACAGCCAGACCACTGCTCTGAAGGCCTGGACCGTACGCCTTCACCTGAAACCAACAAACGTTTAAACAAACCAGCATTTCCAGCCTCTTTAGACCAACGTGTTTTTGGGTGTGAGCATACTTTGTCGGGGTAGAAGTCTTTGGCTGGTGGGTTGACGATTTCAGCCATGAATGGTGAATGCTGGATGTCCTCGTTGTTGCAGAGCACGTGGACGGCGTACTCGCCAGGCTCCGTGGGCCAGTAGCGCACGTCGCAGGATCCGTCGCCTTTGTCGTCGCATTCGATCTTCGCCTGAGATGGACCTTCCACGGAGAAACCTGAGCCGACCACACATACACGTGCAGCAGTGAAAACCAAAACATCGCCAGACTTTTTGCATGCATTTCTGGTGGTTTTCGAACTTACCCAGTGTTCCGACATTATCTCCAACAGCTTCCACAACAAAGTCAGCTGATTTACCAACGATGCCTCCCTCCAGTCCTGGACCCCAGGCCCTGACCTTCTGCTGGCCGGCCTCGGCACCAATCTTGACCTCGATGGGACTAAAAATCAAAGGAAGGGTCAATCAGACGGTAGACATCAGAGGTTCAGATGTTTGTTAGAGAAGCAGACCTGCGAGGGATGTGCTGTCCTCCCCAGGTGATGGTGATGCTGTACGTTCCAGGTGTAGTGGGGTAATACTCAAACTCGTACACTCCGTCTCCGAGATCTTTCCTTTTACACGGCTCCTCAATTCCCTCTGCAAAAAAAAAAAAAAAAATTGAAATCGAGTTTTACAGACAAATCTGCAGTTGAACGATGACAWCAACTGGGCGGCCAATTTTGCAAACAAATTAAAACTAATGTTTGAACTCACTGGGGCCCTTGATGGAGACTTTGAGCTCTCCAGTGCCGGCTCCTTTGGTGTAGACCTTAAAGTCTGCGGTCTCCTTCACCCTCAGGCCCTTTGGCTGCAGACCACGACCCTTGGCTCTGCACAGGCTGGGGTTACACGCTGTGGACACAGGACAGCATGCTTTAGTTGGACAATCACACGCAGGTTTTAGTTGGGAGAAGTGGACCAAAAAAAAAAAAAAAAAACAGCAACCGTCACAAAACAAGTCCTGGAAAACTTTCAAGTTGTTTAATCTCCTTCCCCAAACCCTCTGGTGCCTCATCTTATCCCACAAAATAATCTACAGACCCCACAGGGAAGGAAGAGAGGAAGTGGAGCATCCCTCTTATCTCTCGATTAAACTGGTAAAAAAAAGGAGCTGCTGAGTCACAGCCGAACTGCCTGCAGGAAGCAGCTGAAACCCAGAAGAAACCACAAGATATTTTCCAGGAAGGTGACTACAAGATGTCATTAACAGAATCTCCTTGTGTTAAAGTTAATTTTGTGACAAGTGGGCTGAAAAACTGGTGGCGTCAGTTTTCTAATTAAACCACAAACTGAATGTTTTAGAGAAAACATTGATTGTTAGAGAAGTGTCTTCAAAAATCCTAAAAAGGACGTTTGATTCATTTTGAACTCACAGCTCTAAGAGGAACACGAAGTCTAAACAGAGAGAATTAGTCATAAGGAAGGCATCCAATTAAAAATGGAAAAAAACGAGGGTTAGATAAGTCTGTTAAAAACATCCATGATCACAGAGCACAAGCATTCATGCATTCACTCGGTCAGGCAGCRGCTACCCAAGAGAGATGCCAGGAAACAGGAAATGACAGCAGAGGCAAGAGGCCGTTCCCGAGAGTGGACAGATGCCAACGGGCCTCTGTCGAAGAGAAGACAGGGAAACAGAAAGTACAGCAGAGGGAAAACAGCTCAATTAGACACAAAAGAGAAATTACTGCTCAGGTTTCATATCTGAAGGTCTTACCTTCTCCGACGACGACGGTGAAGGGGCTCTTACTGATCTGACCCCCGGCGAAGGTGATGAAGATGGTGTGCTGGCCCTCCTGAGTGGGTTTGTAGGTGCAGCGATAGCTACTGTTGCCTTTGTCCTCGATTGTGCACGGGACCGTGTTCTTCTTCCCGGCAGGGTCCATGATCACCACCTCGACCTCGCCGACACCAGCGCCTTAAAAAAACGTTTAGGTTCTGGTTCCATTCGATGGCAAACATGACACCTTTTCTGTGCATTACCTGCTGTGTAGACGTCAAAGTAGGTGGCTTTGTTGGCGATGTTTCCTGAGGGCTCCAGACCCGGACCCTGAGCTGTGGCCTTGCTGGAGTCTCCCTGAGCCATGCCGATCTCCACCTCGAAGGGGCTCTTAGAAATGTGCTGCCCCGCGAACAACACAGTCACCTGCAAAAACAAGAAGCATGAGTTAAACGTCTCCACAAAACTTCCCTTCGTCCCAGGATGGCTGCAAATTTAAAAACCGTGGCGCTCACCTTGTGCATGCCGGTCACCTTGGGGATGTAAAAAACAGAGTAGGTCCGATTCTTGTCGTTGTTTGCCGTCACTTTAGCCTGGAGGGTAAAAATAAAAAGGGTGTACAACGTTTAGAAAAAACACAAAAAATTTATTTTAAAGAATTGAAAATTGATCAGACCTCCTCTCTGTGTCCTGCAGGGTCCTCCACGTAAACCAAAACCTCGCCCATGCCTGCGCTGATGGTCTCAACTGTAAACTCCGCCTTCTTCATCACAACGTTTCCAACTGGCTCAACACCTTCAGAGAGGAGAAATAACAGGTACTATACAAATTATACAATCCTGGTAAGAAAAAAAACTTTGGTTTTCATCAGGTTTTAAAAGGAATGTCCATATAGTTTAGGGAAAGCAAACCTTATATCGACGGTGAACTGATGGAGTCTGTTACAAATTTTAAATATCTTGTGCTCAACGTGGGATTTATGGATCAACATTAAGATGCAGCAACAAATGTACTTTTAAAGAAGTTGCCGTCCTTTGATCTTCATAGACAGATTCTTCACTTTTTTTTTCTTTTGTGGTTTTATTGAAAGTGTATTATCATTCTGTGTCATTTGTTGGTTTGAAAATGCTTCTGTGGCCCAGAAAAATGGAGTGACATCGAGTAAATTGTGAAGAATTGCATTACTCAGTATGAAGAGCATTTTCATGATTGACACCCCCCACCCCCGCTCACTACTTTAAACTCTTACCATCTGGGTGACGGCCTCTTTATTAAGAACAAATCCAATTTTTTTTATTTGTTCCACAAGCTATTGAGTCTCTAAAATATGCAAAATGTACGGGGTTCAAATAAGGACATGCTTAGTTGGTCTGTATGCATTTATGATTTATTTTTATGGATTTAGGCGACTAAGATGCTTGGCGGCGGATGAGCTATGCCTTTCCTACTCAATTGGAGTTTATTTCTGAGTATTGCACAGTCTGACCTGCAGGGGGAATTAGGTGTATGCTCCAGTGGGTGTCCCCCTGACTTTTTGCACACATTTTGGTTCAGTTTTTATGAAGGTAAATCATTTGAATTGGTTTCATTTTAAAACCCGATGACCTTTAGTTTTGACACAGAAAAGAGGGCGTCGTACCGCCTTTTTTATTGTGACTTGGGTACAAAACATGCTGCATACCTGGCCCGTAGGCGCGGGCCTTCTTGGGGTTCAGTTTGGGCCGGAGGGGTGCCCCGGGCTTCAGTTTGGCCTTGGGGAACTGGGACAGGTAGGTCATGACGGAGTGTTCGTCCACATTGGGGTCGACGATCTCTTCAGGGGTTATCACCTGCAAAAGACAAAAACAAAGTTTTTCCCTTCCTTTGTTTGTCTCCGAAACAGAAGAGGATGCTCCAGATGTGCAGCCTGAAGCGCGGCTTGACGAAGGTTCGCAAAGGAAACCATTACCCACAGAGAGTGAATCGGGTAGTGATCAAAACCACCTCTGCTCAGAAAAGTACCTGATCCAGGTTTGCACGCAAACTGTCTGCAGCCACTCATACAGACACTGGTAGTCTGGTTAGATGAACCCACACAAAGGCAGCAGGRGAACAGATCAAGACTGTTTCTGAGCAGAAACAGAGGAGACGGAAACTACAACGACCACAGAGCCAACAGCCGGCACGCGATGTTGCGCCAGCCGTGCCAACGTCTCCTGCCAGACACGCTGCCAACTGCTGCACCGATACGAGAAGTAATGCCACGCAAGGTTYGGGTTAACACATCATTACAACAACTGTTAGTAATCTGAAGACTGAAACGCACGTCTGGATTGAAAACACACAAAAAAAGCACAAAATGTGACAAATGCATAAAATGATTGCAATTAAATATAAAAAATATGTCAATGCATTTTCATTATTTAACCATTTAGCATTACTTTGCTATTTTTAACTAAATGTTAAATCTAAGCATAAAAATTAAATCTTAATATGTTGTGGCTAAGTGTTAAAGTTTACATTAAAGTATTTTGGAATGGAACACAGCCTTTGCTGTTGGTGCGCAGCTTTTGTTATGACGTCATACAGAGACAAAAGCAGCCGCTAACACTGCTAGCCCTGCTAGCACCCTACAAGACATCAAACTTTCAGCTGAGGTCGGAGTCTGAGCTACACTTCAAACCGCAGGAACAYAGGTACCATGTTTTGTCCAATGAAAGCATTTGAAAATTAAACTTTAAAATGCCATTTTCAGTAATGTTAGCAGCGTTAGCTTTTGTCACAGGATCATGATGTCACAATAAAAGCAACGCACCAACAGCAAAGGTTGCGTTTCATGTTGAAATTCTTTAACGCTCTGAGGTCGACGCCCGCTCTGGAGCAGGCAAAGCTGTGATGCATTTAAAGGGCTTCTGCAAAAAAAAGTGGGAGCATTCAGAGTGTTCATTTGAACTGGGTTGGACAGGTTAGACTTCAAACTTTATAAAAGTAATGTTTTTATATAGTTTTATTTTCATTTACTTCCAAATAAAAACCAGATTTAATGATGAATTTTTTTTTGCCATAATGTGTGCATTTTTACGCATTTGGTGCACATTTAGAGAACGTTTTGTAACCAGGAGGTGCTTGACTGCACCATGAAACCTATTTTTCCCCATTTCCTCAAACACACCACATTTCCCAAACAACTAATCAAAACAGTTTGTCAGTAGGCTTGTGGAGAGAGAGGTTCTAGAGAGGTTTTGGAGACGGGCCAAAGACTGATGGATTTCGGCATTTTGGAAGCTCGTAGCGGGTTAGTTTTTAGAAAAGACGTGCGTTAAGGGTGTGTTACCCTCTTCCAATGAAGGAAAACATTAAAAACATCTCGAATCACCAAARGTTAAGTCAGACGTGCATCTAAACATTTGTTTTGTTAAAATAATTTAACAGGCAGACATGATCGTCTTTCGTGACAGCGAGTGATAAAGATACTTGCAGGTTACCAACACTGAAGTAAAATGATTCCAGTTTAATAAAAAAGTGTCAGGTTTCATGATAATCTCACCTGAGGAATGCCCAGCCAGTCGTCTGCCTGCTGCATGGCCTCACGGGCGTTATCCACCGGTTTGGTCTGATCCCACTGGTCCCAGTCAGGACAAAGACCTGCAGGAAAAACAAAAACAAGGTTTGAGTTCAAGATGTGGCACTTTTAGGTTTAAATTTTACTGCTATTTGTATTTATAAGAGCTTTTATAAAAATCACACTGTTCATTTTCTGGGTTTTAATTAAAAGAGTAAACATGAATTTTATTCTAGAGCTGCCTTTGTCCAATGAAGTGGAGTCCAAACTTTATGGACTTTTTACATTAACATGTTTATTACAGACTGGCGTCTTCAGGGTGGGGATTTTCGACAGATTAAATTTTTTTCTGAAGTAAACAGTCTTATCTTTGGCTTGAGGTCTTTCGACAGGTATGTCAAACATCCGGAGAATGTAACCGAATACCTGCCCTCAGCTCACCTGCGTTAGCTTCATAACTAGTTCACCAACACCTCCCACCCAGAGATCTTTGGAAAATCGTCCCGGCTCACCTGGAGCACAGCTGTCCACCAGGGCCCCCARGGCCCGACCGGTCTGCCAGTCCCTGTTGAAGTTGGTGATGGGAAGCTCGGGCAGTTTGTTCTGGATCCATCCCAGCAGCCTCTGCTTTGGGGTCTTCTGCTTGCCGTCGTCGGTGGCCTCCTCCTCCTCGTCCCACATGGGCATGGAGATGGAGTAATGCAGGATCAGGGTCCATATCAGGCCCAGAATCAGCTTCAGGTTCCCGTCCACGATGGCTTTAGAGTCTGGAAGCCAAAAGAGTTAAGAGTCAAGTCATCATGAAGGACGGAGAAATCAGATTTATAAATAAAAAACTATTAGATGAAGCACTGAAGCTTCAAATTCATTATTTGATAAAAAGATTTCAGGTAAGTGAAGTTATGATCAGTGAATGTTTTAAAATATGATTGTTTGGAGGATTTCATTGAAGTGGTTGAAACAAATTTCAGTATCTGGGTGTAAACTTGGCCTAACAGAATGACAGCAGCACATTTGTTTCAACGTGTGGCTTTCCTCTGAGGTCGTCTTTGCAAGTTCGACACACACACACACACACACACACACACACACACACACAGTAGAAAGTGATGCAGATGAAGGCTAGTTTGGGCACGACTCACTCCACCCCACATAAAAAGTCTGCAGCGAGCGCTGTCGATTGAGACGAAGATTGCACAAGTCCAGCCTGGAGGAAAAGGGTGGAGCCATGTGTCAATGTGTCCTGTGGCTGATGAAAACATAGCTGAGTGGGGTGTCGGACTGAAGCATTTCGATAGCTGCCGGCGCAGAACTTTAAAACACACAGAGCTGCAGGGAGAAATTCAGACTAACCTTAAATCAGCTTGTTTTTAATGCATAAACATTCTTCAGTTTGAGACATAGTTTGCACATCTTACAACCTAGATAAATTAGACAAAATGTGCAGCTGAATCAGGACAACATGTTTGATTTTTGGTAGTTATAGGATTTCTACATGGAGAAATGAGAGGTAAAACACAGCCTTTACACCAGGGCTACACAACTAAAATAGCTCCGGGGGCCGGGGTTATGTGAAGCCCACATTAATCATTAACAGTAAGTGAAACACTGCAGCATGCAACAGAACAAGTATTACCRTATTTATTCGTGTATGATACGATCTCATGTATAATTCGACCCCCCCACTTTTTGAGCTTAAAAAGCATAAAAAATTTAAGCGTAAACTACCTCCAATTTCATACAGACTTCCAAGATTTTTCAGCCTTTGCAGTCTTTATACATATCAGTAAAATGATCATTGGACTGTTCATTTTATTTTAACATTTGTACTAAAAAGGTATTTTGACAACAAATATATATCAGCTGTAGCAGCATCATATGAATTCTGGCATTTTACACATAGTCCACCAGGAGGYGCCAACACAAAAGTCAGAGACTTCACATGAGATTTGGACCATCTTGTCGGGCAAAAGCAGATTACTTCCTACTCGCAAGTGCCCCCTCTGGTGGGGAAACGTTTTTTCAGGGATACAAACTTTTTCAGAACACCGGTAGACGGCAGCCATTACAGACGAACATGTTTGTTGTTCGAGGAGCRGCCCGGTCACACGCTAATGTCATTTGTTCGCTATCATTACTAAGGTGCAGGAATACTTTCCCCCCTTTTTTTCACATTATGTCGCCTGCCTAGATCTGTTATCTCGCTCTGAAGCACGAAGGAGYGTCAGAGGTAAGCTCATTTCAACAGCTTTTTCCAACGCCGTCTCTTTTCTGGACTCAGGCATTTTGTGAATGAAGCCAATATTTCAGTTAAAATACATAAGTAAAACTATTTATCCGGGTATAATCCTACGCCCCCCCCCCCAACTTTATGGATGATTTTATGGATTAAATTTCACATATTATACTTGAATAAATACAGTAGATGCAGAAAGAAGAAATAAGGACCCACGTTTGCATGTAGGGCCATCTGTCGAACTAAAAGTGGAAGGTTGNATCCGGGTATAATCCTACGCCCCCCCCCCCAACTTTATGGATGATTTTATGGATTAAATTTCACATATTATACTTGAATAAATACTGTATATTTTACTTTAAATTGATTTTGTTGCATTGAAACAAATTTAAAATTTACAAATGATTTGAAATCTATAAATTAAAGTTTAATAAAAAGAAAGAAAACAAAAAAGATAATTCCCCAATTTTATGTTTTCGGTGGGGGCTGGATGGAAGTCACCCGTGGGCCAGATGTGGCCTGCAGGCCGCCAGTTGAATAGCCCTGTTTTACACAATTCAACTGGTAATCTGTTATTAAACCGACAATTTTACCAAAGAATGTTAAACTTTTTAACTGTCTGAACCTTTACTCCTACAAACATTATACTTTTTGTACAATTTACACGTCAAAATGTTGATACTGAAAAACTGGGTGTCTCAGGCAGTAGCTGCATTTTAACTCATTTCATTGAAYAATCGTTAGCAGTGCTTGTTTCATWAGAGCTGAGGCTGCATTTAGGGGGTTCTGGGGCTACCGGCAAATATTTCAGTTCTGCTTGTTGGGCTCGGAGCCGCAGCGGGAGCTCGAGGGGAATATGAGGTCGGTTTGGACGAGGAGCTAAAAAACCCAACAGCAGGACGGTGAAATTTGATGCACGATGAAAAATGAAAGCTACAAAGAACCAGAGCAAGAGACACGTTTTGAATGAGTTGATCTGTAGACATGTCCCGGCTCATGTTTGATCTGTCTCCACCAGAATATTGACACACTCGAGAATGTTAGGGAGGACCGAGAGACAAAATGAATGTAGAGGAGAGAAGAGACAGAAAAAGTTGCCTAAGGAGTTGCAAATATTAGTTCGTGCTTATCAGATGGTTGGAGTTGAGCGTCGCAGGTCGGAGCTTGCAGCAGGAATGCTCGTCAGCTGAGGGGGGTGTGTTTCAGAGAAACATCAGGCAGAAAATTACCAGGAACCGCAGCAGAGGAGGTCAAACACCATTAACTTCATTAATGTTTGAAACCAGTGATTAACAGGTTTAAGTCATTTGTAAAGTGTTTGCTAGTTTCTATTTTACAGCCTGTTGAAGCATCAATACAGTCAGAGCTGAGGGCAGATGTTCACCTCCTCTGAAAGCCACTAAACATGCAAAGAATCTGGCATCGATTCCAGCAGACCACAGGCCTGCTGAGCCCATATACGGACAAAGACCGCCACCCCCAGCTCGCTGAATCACAACCCTCCCGATGCAGTTTTACATGCCTTTAGTTCTGAGGCCACTGTAACATGTTTGAATGAGGCTGATCTTTGTCCCCAAATTTCCCATGACTCATTCGTTCGGCATGTTGCTGCCGGATGATGCTGCAGTGACATCACTGTGATCCCTGACCAGCATCCCGGCTGGATCCCAGCATTTTAATGAGGGAAAGTGTGTGTGTTTGTGTTTTTTTTTTTTTTTTTGGGGGGGGGGGGGGTGTAGAGAAAAGACCAGTCCATGTTAAAGGTTAAAGAGGAGAACCTGGAGCAGATTAGAGCAGAGATAAAGACCAGCAGAGATGAACAGCTGCTCTGCATCTGATGTTTGCATGCAAACCACCTGGTCGTTTAAAGGTGGAAATACCTTTAAGTCTTTATGCTCATTATGGACAAATGGACATGCAGGGTTTTAACAAATGTTTAAAACATGCTCCAAACGGTAAAGTTTGTGCCAAAAAAACAACAAAAACAAAACAAGTTTATAAGAGGGAAAAACAGAGCGTGAGATCTACACGCGGATCGGTGCAGCTTCAGCAGTTTTGTGGAATCTGTGCCGTTTGTTGTTTACCTGTCGGTCTACATTCTTACCCTCACCTGTGGTCACGAACTCTGGGTGGTGACCAAAACAATGAAACTGTGGATACAGGAGGTGAAAATTATTTTTGTCTGCAGAGCAGCTGGACTCTCCATCAACGTTTTAGACAACCTAATGTTTTTTTTTTCAATAAATGACTAATAAAATTTAGATATTTTATCAATTTGTTAGCATTACAGCATGTACATGCCTAAAAGAGGCTTCCAGTTGATTTTTTTAAATTCCATCATGTCTCCAAACTTCTCATAAGTTGGCATAATTTGTCTAAAACGTGGAAGAGGATGGATGAAAGTATTTCACGTCTCCCACTTTTTTTTTAAAACGTCTTTAATTTCTGTAATGATCTTTTATTCTTGTTCTACTCAATGTTTGTAAAAAAAAGTGCTGATAAATGGACTTGTGATGCTCAGAACTGCATGAGGCTGAATGTTGGGGGATGACTGAAGCACATGTATGCATGTCTGCGTTTCCTCAGGAAACCTCACATTCCTCGATGGCCTCACACACATCAGGAGAGCTGCCCGTGCACAATGTGCATGAATGCTGTGAGATGCAACTCAAACTGAAACCTAAAACATACAAAACCTAAAAAAAACAATTATCTTCCTTCCAGATTACAGAAAAGCCATGCTGAAGCTGAAGCTACTGCACTTCCTGCTCCTTCCAGTCATCTTTCCTCCCTCCCTCAGAGTTAAGARAAAAAAAGTTCCCCCTGGTTTTTTAGCCTTAAAAGGGCAAAAGCAAACTGGATCTTGGCACCCCTCCCATTCCCTGGGCTCTGGTTTCAGACAGAGAAGGGAGGAGGAGGGGAGGGCCGGGAGGAAGGGAAGGGAGGAAAGACGAGTGGAGGAGCTAAGAAAGAAAGAAAGAAGGGTGGAGAGTTCTGCTGCATGGGACATTTTTAAAAATCCCAGTCTGACAACAGAACCAGCTGGGGAACATTCACCTGAGAGAACAGAAGAAATAAAAGGAGGTTTGAAGGAAAAAGGCGAGGAAGAGGATGAAAGGCAGGATAAGACAGGAGGACAAAATGTTTAATCGGGTTTAATCCGAAGCATGCAACTTTAAAATCAACCGTCTGCCTCCTGGAAACACTCGAGRACCATCTGAGCCCCACAGCAGAACTGAGTTCTGAAGCAACGAACMCTTCTGGCAAAAATTACTCCCGTCTGGAAAAGCTGACCCCCACCCCCCACGTGTCTGTTAAATAAAACCTTGTTACCAAAAAACAAAAACTAAAATCTCAGCCTGTGCAGCTTTCTAAGACGCTTCCACACAGTCAGACCTGATGTTTGTGCCTTCGTTTCAAAACCCATCTGCTTGTTCGGTCTGAACATGATGCGAGAAGCAGCGTGGCACCTCTCCAACGATGACGTAACAATAGCTGGAATACCGCTGCACTGAATGGGAATACACTCTG